GTACTAGAGGCGTCTCATCTTTTTGCTAATCTAGCTGAAGGAACTGCTCCACCCGTTAATTATGTTATTAACGGAAAAAATTATAATATGGGTTATTATCTAGCTGATGGTATATATCCGAAATGGTCCACTCTTGTTCAAACAATTCATGATCCACGTGGCCCCAAAAAGAAATTATTTGCAAGGAGGCAAGAAGCATGTAGAAAAGACGTGAAACGTGCATTTGGAGTATTGCAGTCAAGATTTGCAATTGTGGCAGGACCATCACGCTTTTGGAGTAAGAAAGTTTTACAGCTTGTATCATAATGCATAATATGATCATTGAGGATGAACGTGATGTTGATGCAATAATTGAAGAACGAGTGGAAGTCCCATCTGCAGAAGTTGAGATGGCGAGTAATGAAGATGTCCGATTTCAAGAATTCTTAGCTCGGCATAGGCAAATCAAGGACCGAGACGCTCATATTGAACTTCGAAATGCATTAATTGAACACTTGTGGTTAGAATATGCTAATTATGAAAATTAGTATAATATAATTTATTTTCTATTTTTTTTATTGATTGTAATCTTTGTTTTTTTTATCACAATGTAATGTTATATCAAATTTACAGTTAATCTATTTTATGAATAATTAGTAGTCATCAAAATTATGAAAAATAAAGAGAATCTTAAATTTAATAATATAATAATATAAAATATTGTTATTAGTGTGAGATTTGATGTTGTAGTTGGAGATGAAAAAAAACACTATTCACTTTTACACCAAATTTTACATTATTCATGACACCAAATTTGGTGTTATGGTTGGAGATGGTCCCCGAACTATCATCAGCCTCCTCGGTTCAACAAATATGGTGGTCAGAGTCAAGAAAAAATATGTGGCCTTCTGTAAAAAAAAAAATTCGTAATAAATTTTTTATTTTGCAATTCTTGGATATTATGTGATGCAAACAGTTTTTTTAAGGGATGAAAACAATTTCTTTAAAAAAATATAATTTTTAAATTTTGAAACTTATAAACTATTAATCAAAAATAAAATATGTGCTCTATTAAAAACTTAAGTTTTATTATGTGATGAAAGCAATTTCTTAAAAAAATTTTTTTTTTTAAATTTGACACTTATAAACTATTAATCAAAAATAAAATATGTGACCTATTAAAAAAAAAAGTTGGTGGTCTCTCGCCTGCCCTTAAGGCTGGGCCTGGGCTATCATAAGAAGTGACAAAAGAACCTGAAATAAATCTCCCACTGTTAGGCTGAAGAAGCAAAATATATGGGTCCAACCGTCCAAGGTAGTGTTGAGTCCTGTGGTTGAACAAGTTGGAATACTGCTTAACACATAATGGAATTAAGGCACAAAGACAAAAGAAGCATATCTGATATGGAAGAAGTTTTTTGGACGTATCAGAACAGAGGATTTCAATATCAAGAAAACGAAAACGAAGATCTGGTGATATCCTCAAAATTGGAGACAAAATATTCTCAACTACGTGAGTTGGATGATATAAATAATTAAGGTGCGGTTAGGATGTTTGGTACGGATTGTACGGCAGGAGAAAGCATTCTAGATTTGGTGAGTGAACAAAGAGTGATCACATAGCAACATAAATTTTGGATAGATTATGAATTGGTCAATGACAAACCATTATGTCGATGTCGTGTAAAACTGATTAAACAACTTGAAAGAAGTTTGTTTAAACGATTTCTAATAAAGCAAAGAGAGTATTTGCAGAATTTTGTCTACTATTCTTATTAGTACGTGTTCTAGCTAGGTTTTGCAGAATCTTGTCTACTAAAAATAAGAGAATATTAGAAGGTTAGACCCGCGAATGTCATGCCACTAATCATTTGCATAATGTAATATACCAAATAATAATAATAGTGTCCCCATGTGACACTAATATGTCTGGTATTTGTTTTCTATAAAGGTAGTGGACAACGGTTATTTGTATTCTGGTGTTTGTCCAAACCGTAATATATGTCTGGTATTTGTATTCAATATTGGGAGTGGAACCAATTTGACAAAAACAAAAAACAATGGTTTGGTCTAATGGCCCAGGCACATTGCGCCATATTTAACCCCCTTAAGGAGGTCCACTAAACGAAAGGCACGTCATCAATTCTAAACTAAAAGAAAATTTAAAGAATGGTAGGCCATTGACCTGCTATAATAATTTATTTTATTAAAACAGAAGCACATTTAGTGTTTGCATCCAAACACTCTTAAAGTTTTTTTAATAATATTTTATTTTATTTTTATATATATATTTTTTTTTGGTCAAAATTTTATTTTTTTTATATTTAATTTCAGAAAATTAGTTATTAATTTAGATATTTTTAGATTTCCTAAAATCTAGGTCATCTTTAATTTAAATTTTAAATTATTAGAAATTTAATTAAATTTAGTTACAAAAATTTACATTCAATTTAATTTAAATTCAAAAAATTCAAAAAAAATTATAATTAAATTTTATTACAAAAATTTAGATAATAATTTTAATACTTTAGAATTTCTTAAATACATGAAAGATTTAATTTACAATTTTAAATTTAAATAATATTTTTATAAAAATGCATAGTAAATAAATATTTTATCGTATTTTATCATAAACAATCGGTGTAAAATATCAAATATTTGAGATTAATAAATATTATACAATAATATGATCGAGCTGATTAGAGTTATATATTTAAGGTTCATGAGTTAATTTATTAAAACATGTAAAATATTAAGATGATTTGAGATAATTAAACTAACATGTTAGCCCGTTTATATATATATATATATACACATTTTTTTAATAGCACAAATAGTAAATAAATATCTTATTATATTTTTCATAATCAATTGGTCCAAATATTCCATATTAGTAAATATTTATAGGGTTATACAATTATAATTATAGTCTTATACGGGTTAATTTGTCAAAACATGTAAGATATTAAAAATGATTTAAGACAACTAAACGGATGGATTAGCAAATTCATAGATATATAGATTGTTTATGTGTAAATCTAAATTCACATAATAACAAAGTTTATAATTAACATTAGATCAATGTATACTTAATTAACGTATACTCTTATTCTACTATATACAAATTTTACTGTTTAAAATTAAAATATGATAATAATTTTTTAATTTAAAAAAATAAATAAAAAAAATAAATTATATCTAAACAAAAAAGATAAATGCAACTTATATTAGAAATAAAAAATAAAACATTTCCGTGCGGACGCACGGGGTTAAAATCTAGTTATTATTATTTATTTAGAACTTATATGACTATCTGATTAGCAAAGACATCATCTGGAAATCTGACCGACTCCAATGATATGTATGGCCTGATTGAATTTGATTTACAAAAAACCATGAATGAATTTGATTTACAAATTACTCTAATTTAGTGTCCGTTTCAAGTTTAAATGGATTATTTTAGTGTGCAACTTGAATACTTGATGCTAGCTAGATGATGAAAAAATAAATCAGGGGGAATTAAACGTTTGTATATAGTTGGCCTTGAAGTTGTGATGGTGCACTCCCGTTCGTTTCTTTGCTTTGGAGCACGAAGAATCCCAACTATTTTTTAGGAATACAAAAGTGAAAATGTTAACTGAAGGAATCTGTTAAGTACTGGATGTAAATTCTATTTTTGGAACAAGTAAACTAACATTAAGAAATTGAATATGGTCAATGAGAACATATATAGATGAGAATGTCTAGACATGATGTTGCAATTGGCATGTAACTTGCTTAGCAAGTAAAGAGTTGTAATTGAAACATTTCTCTATTTTCTTCTTCTGTCTCTTAATCTTCTAATTTGGGGAGAGAAATTTTAACTCTACTCAAGACTCAGTGATTTGAGTCGCTGTGCTTGTCAAATTGAATTTGGTTTGTTTCCTTTGTAAGAAGAAACAAAGAAGGGACCACGAAGCACCTCCTGCTCCTAACGGTTAAAACAAAATTCTTGATTAGATTAGATCAAGAAATCAAGTCTCGAACTAATTTGTTCCTCATTTTTGTTATTCATCAACATTTTCTTGTTTTTTTTTTTACACTTCTGTCTAATCGGCTCCATATAACAGAACATTCATAAAACCTATTATGCTTACTAGATTTATCTACATTTTCTTTGAATGTCTGTAATCTTCAAATATTTGGATTCAAAGAGAAACCGTTTTGCAGATTTCAAGTTCCTCTGTTTCTCCACCACCACCTTTCCTTAGAACCAACAGCAATCTTCAATCTCGAGCTCCATTCCATAGGAGGCCGTCCCTTCCCTGTCACAAATTCATCACTAAATTGACTACAACAAAGCATGCAATAAACCATAGAAGAGTTTTAATTTTTGTCTAACCATGGAGGTGAAACTCGAGACTGTTGTTTGGAACAAACTCATAGACAAGCAATCTTTGAGAACCGGCGATGCAATAACCGACAAGAGCTACTAAATTCTTGTGGTGAACTCGGCTAATGATCCCGACCTCTGCCTGAAACTCTCGCTCTCCCTGAGCATTCCCTGCTTTCAACTGTTTCACAGCGATTTCTTTTTCATTACGCAATGCACCTTTGTACACATACCCGAACCCGCCTTGTCCTGACCAATTGGACTCAGAGAATCCATTAGTTTCTCTAGATAGCTCCTCGTATGTGAAAGTTCCTTGATATATGCTTAATGCAAGCCCTGGAGATGGTTGAAGCAGAACTGGATGAACCGAGAAGTTTGAATTCGGGATTGTCATATCTTCATGACAATTGTAAGTCTTAAGATCTTAAAAGTATGTATAGTTGTTTAATAAATCATGCTGTATTTGTATATGAGGCCCGGGTGTGTATGTATATTTGCAGGCAATCTTAATATCATTCACTGTGATATCAAGGCGGCAAACATATTGATTGATTTCCAAATTAAAGCAACGCTTTTTATATGTAACTTGACAATATTTTTGAGAAGAATCTTTAAATTTTGTATTTTTTGAAGCTCTTCTATTTTTCAGGTTGCTGATTTTGGTCTTGCCAAGATTGTTCCTGATACAAACACTCATGTATCTACACGCGTGATGGGAACCTTTGGGTAAAAGATAATCTTGAATCTTGTCATCTTTATTAAAGTTTTGGTTTTGAGATTTTTATAGGTATTTAGCTCCAGAATAAGCTGCTAGTGGCAAGCTCACAGAAAAGTCTGATATTTATTCCTTTGGAGTTATAAACATGACAACTTGGTTGATTGGGTAATTAGTTAATATAACTTCAAATAATCTAACGTTAACATGATTTTTAGAATTTGACACTTGAATGAAGCAAAAGCTATGGCCTATGTGTGAATAAATGGAATAGGCACAAACCTTTCTTAACCGAGTATCTGAGGAAGGATAATTTGAGGGTTTGGCTACAATGCTGAATAATGAGTATGACAGAGAAGAGATGTCTTTACTCTGTCTGAACTACGATTCTATATTTTTTTTTTCTCACTAAGTAGTTTTCCATTGATAGAATACGGTTTTAGAGCAAGCTAGCATAAAACACAGACTCATAATAAAAAACATCAAAAAAAAAAAAAACAACTTAACCCATTCAACATAAAATACATAGTCATAATAAAATATATATAACGTTTAACACTCTCGAATCTGAACAAGCCAACATAAACCATTTTTTCTTACATCATTCCTTGCTCACAAGTGATTGTCTACCGATTTCTAACAACTTTTTTCACTCTGATATATATATATATATATAATTATATATAATATTATCTTATATTATTATTTGAGAAGGACAATTTAAAAATAATATTCACTTGATGTATAATTTACAAGAATATCATGCTGATGTGTCATCATTAGAGAACTTCTCAATATACATATAAAAAATGTTTGCTTTACTAGAGTAATTACATCATATGACATTTAGCATTAATTTGGTTAGAGATTAATTTATATCCATTATATATTCAATATTCAACATTTAATTTGTAAAAATATTTTTTCTCTTTTTCTTTCTTATTAACATATTTATTAAAAAAATGAATACATAATATTTTTTAGAACATCTGTTTCTCCACCACCGCCTTTCCTTAGAACCAACAGCAATCTTCAATCTTGAGCTCCATTCCATAGGAGGCTGTCCCTTCCCTGTCACAAATTCATCACTAAATTGACTACAACAAAGCATGCAATAAATCATAGAAGAGTTTTAATTTTTGTCTAACCATGGAGGTGAAACTTGAGACTGTTGTTGGAACAAACTCATAGACAAGCAATCTTTGAGCACCAGCGATGCAATAACCGACAAGAGCTACTAAATTCTTGTGGTGAACTCGGCTAATGATCCTGACCTCTGCCTGAAACTCTCGCTCTCCCTGAGCAGTCCCTGCTTTCAACTGTTTCACAACGATTTCTTTTTCATTACGTAATGTACCTTTGTACACATACCCAAAGCCACCTTGTCCTAACCATTTGGACTCAAAGAATCCATTGATGTCTCTAGATAGCTCCTCGTACACTACAGGAAAACATGAAATTGGCGACTGCATTTTATGACTGAATAGTCACTAATTAGTATTAAATACAAACAGTCGTAATTTGGTCGTTAATTACCGACCAATGTACGACGTATTTGTTGATTCGCTTAATAAAAAACATGTGTTTTAACTTTTGTGGTAGGTGTACCGGTTTTTTACGACTAAAACACGGAAGTCACTATTTAGACGCAAATTGGTAGCAAATTAGTCGTAAAATTTTCTATATATACAGACCCACGCATCTTCTTTTCATTCACTCACAATCACAATCTAAAAGCTCCGAAATTCTGGAGAGCGTTTCTAGATATAATGTCTGGAAATTTCAGTAATAATAATAATAATAATAATAGAGAGTGGATGTATAAACGGATCGACGAAGAAACGGAAAAATTTTCATTCGGAATTTGTATCCGGAGTAGAACAATTTATGAATTTTGCAAACAACCAGACGCTAACGCAGAGTAATGGCGGTAAATTTTACTGTCCTTGTAGTGTTTGCAAAAATAATAAATTTTTGCCGGGAAAAAAAATTTGGAACCATCTCTTTAGTAAAGGGTTCATGCCAGATTACTATATTTGGTATAAGCATGGTGAAGAAATTACTATGGATTATGGAACTAGTTATGGTAATATAACTCATTTAAATTGGAGTGAAGAAAATGTGGGTAATGTAGTATGAGATAGATATGTGGATATGGTGAATGATGCATTTCATGGTAATTATCATCAAGATGATACATATCATCAAGAAGATAGTTATCAGAATGTACAAGAACCGGTGCGTAACCATCCTCAACAATTTTACGACTTGTTAGAAGCTGGGAAAAAACCATTATATGATGGTTGTCATGAAGGTCACTCGCAGTTATCTTTAGCTGCTCGGTTCATGCAAAATAAAGTAGATTATAATATGAGTGAAAAGTGTGTGGATTCGTGGGCATCTTTGTTTACGGAGTATTTACCAGAAGAAAATCAGTCAACCAGGTCACATTACGAGACAGAGAAATTGATGGGTAATTTGGGGCTTCCATTTCACAAAATTGATGTTTGTATTAACAATTGTATGATCTTCTGGAAAGAAGATGAAATGTGGGAGGAGTGTAAATTCTGTCAGTCACCAAGATATAAGCCTAACGAAGGACGACGTTCACGAACCAGAATACCATATAGTCGTATGTGGTATCTACCTATTGGTGATAGATTGAAGAGGATGTATCAGAGCCAGAAGACTGCAGCGGCAATGAGATGGCATGCTGAGCACCAAGCAAAGGAGGGTGAAATGTGTCATCCCTCTGATGCTGCAGAGTGGAAATATTTTCAAGATTTACATCCCCGGTTTGCTGAAGAACCCCGTAACATTTATCTTGGATTATGTACAGATGGATTCAATCCATTTGGCATGTCTCGTAATCATTCGTTGTGGCCTGTGATCTTGACTCCTTATAATTTACCCCCTGGTATGTGCATGAAGACTGAGTACTTGTTCCTCACAATATTGAATTCTGGGCCAAATCATCCGCGTGCCAGTCTCGATATCTTCCTCCGATCTCTTGTCGAGGAATTAAAAGAATTATGGTCAACTGGTATCGATGCATATGATGTATCTTTGCAGCAGAATTTCAAATTAAAGGCTGTGCTGATGTGGACGATAAGCGACTTTCCGGCGTATGGCATGTTGTCAGGATGGACGACCCATGGTAGATTGGCTTGTCCAATTTGTTTGGACGATACAAAGGCATTCTATCTGCCTAATGGAAGAAAGACGTGTTGGTTTGATTGTCATAGAAGGTTTCTCCCTCATGGTCATCCATTACGAAAGAATAGAAAAGACTTTTTGAAGGGTAGACAAGCTATAAATGAGTTACCACCAGAGTCTTTGACAAGTGAACAAGTTTATAGTGAGCGCATAGAAACTGTCAATCCTGCAAAAACGTCTGACTGCGGTGGCAACGGTCATGAAAAAAAGATGCCTGGATATGGGAAGTGGCATAACTGGCACAAGGAAAGTATATTTTGGGAGTTGCCTTACTGGAGGGACCTCAATCTCCGACATAATGTAAGAGATTATCCATCGCCGATGGAGCTCTTCCAGAACTCGCAACAAGGAGCCCCTGAGTCTCAACCACCGCCTCAACCTAGAAGGTCAGAACATTCTCAAACTCGGTTCTCTCCATCTCCTCAACAATCTCATCGGCAGCATTCTGCATCACCTCAATCGCAGCACCAAGGAGCTTCTGGAGCTTCTTCTTTCTCTCAAAATCGAGCATCTCCATTATCTCAAGAAGGAGGCAATTCTCCACACTCTCAACAAGCTCATTATAACGGTGAAGAAGCTGCATTTCAAGAACCTTCAGATGAAGAATATGGTGATGTCAACCTCTCTGACGACCAGCTAAGCATTCTAAATGCCTTGCTCACGAAGCCTGGGAGAGAGGCTTATACTACGGTACTATCTCCCATAGAGAAACCGGGTACAACGTGGTAAGTATTTTTTACTCTAGCTTCATTTGTTTCATTCTTCAAATGATGGCTCGATGACTGCTTGCTTTGTTTTCTTTGTATCCAGGTGTGATCGTGACAAGTCCTCTCTTACCCGGAAGATTACCAAGGTATTCACCAACAAGTTTGATGGCCCTTTCTACAGCTGGAGTCGTGTGCCTCGTGATAGACAAGAGCGTTACTTCATAGAATTCGCGGTAAGATCATCCTTTTTCATTTACATGGTTTTGTTTTTTTTTTTTTGTCGACAACATGGTTTTGTTTTGTTTTTGTAACTATGTCTTATTCAACATCATCTCTTTGTCTCTTGTTGTTGTAGAAAACCCACACCTGGGATCCCTTGATCACTGGTGTGGTTCAAGAAAAATTTGAGAGCATTTGCAAAAGCCGGATGAAGGATATGGTCAGCACCATAAGGACATCAAGAGTGCAACCTAACTGGATCGGGGATACACTCTGGGAACAAATGACTGCCTATTGGTACACAGAAAAATCTAAAGATAAGAGATCAACAACTTCAGCTGCTCGGTTGTCTGAACGTGGTGGTCTTGGACCTCACGTTCACTTCTTAGGTCAGAAATCCTATCTGCAAATCCAGCAAGAAATGGTAACTTTCTATTCTGTTATTCTTCAATAAGTGTTAGTTTTAGGAAATATGATTAATAACTTACCCGCTGACATATTTTGGTTTATAATTTCAGGAAGAGGAATTAGGTAGACCGGTGAGTCTTGGTGAGGTATTCATCAGGACTCACACAAAAAAAGATGGGAGTTATGTGGATGGAAAGGCAAAGAGAGTGGCTGAGACTTACCAGAAAAACTTGGAAGCCAAGTTGTCTGCCCTAAACCCTGAAAGCTCAGACAATCCTGAGGGTACATCACCTCGTCGAGAGCTAACTGTGGAAGAGCAGAACGACTTTTTTTCTACAGGTAAGGTTCTCTATTCTTTTATGGATTTATCTTGCTTTTCCTGTGATTCTAACATTTTTTTAGTTTAATGAATCATATGTCTGACTCTCTTTTTGTATTCGCAGTCGTCTATTATGAGTGAAAGAGGTGTACCTTATGGAGTTGGTAGCCTCTCTCACTTGTACGTCAATGGCAAGAGGAAGTACCCAGGAAGCTCTGCATCCTACGACACTCTGCAGGAACAGCTTCAACAAGCTCAACACCAAATAGAGCTCCAAGCGGCTGAGATTGCAAGGCGTGAAGCAGAGTTTGCCAAAGCTTCAGCTGCACAAGAAGCCAAGATCGAGAAGCTCACCATGGTTGAAAGGTACTTGACTCAAACTGATCCACGGTTCAATGATTTTTTGGCTAGTCAAACTCCTCCATCGACCATTCATGCTGCGAAGTCTACCACTCAACAACCTGATGAT